GTACTTCGACTGCTCTTTTTCTCTTATTATTTGTGAACACAGAACTCATTGGAGCTGCAGTACTCCTCCTGGATATTTTGCACACTGCAACACCATGTATAAGACTTTTACTGTCTCTGATCTGTTTGGACATATTTGAGAGATTATTCTGAAGTTCTTTTAGCTTTACTCTTATTAACTGCAATTGTGCTCAAGTGCTGTGTCCTAGCTGAATTATTTAAATTCCTGCAGGGAAAAAGCCATTCAGACCAACTAATATGTGTTAGTAAAATAGAAAAGAGGCATTAATCTATTATTAAAAGAATATTGCAGTACTAAAGCTACGTATTGGCCTGCCAACTATCTGTGCATATTTCAAAGAGTATTGGGTTTTAATGCAGAAGCGATGAGGAAAGAAACGTGCCATAAGAAAAATAATCAGTTGCATAAATGCATTACAAAATTAACTCTTATTAGGTAGCAACAGGGAAATTCATCGAAAGAGATAGAAAGTTAGAGATTCAGAGAGAGAAAAAAGTGTTTGAGACAGGAGAGTTGGCACAAAGTGGTACTAAAGTGTCAGAATAACTCCTGATTGAACACATTTTTGGTTAACTCTGCAGCAAATTTATATATTTTTTGATGACCTATAATTTGCACTGTTTGTTTATCTGTGATTGAGGCCAGTTATAATTCACGTGATTGGCTCTTGACAGTACATTCGATTGGTTATTCCCAAAAGAGGGGCAGCTTTTGAAGGTTGACACTATATTGTGTTAATTATATCAAGGTTGTGTTAATACTGGTGAAGACCTTTGCTTAAAAAGAGATTGTATCGATTAGGAGAGGGTGCAGTTCTAGTTCACAGAACACACAGATTGCTTATGAGAGCTGTGAGGATGTATTAAGTTAAAAGAGTAACATGAAAAAAAGTCTAGGAAAGCAATTGGCGATAATGATTGTGAGACAGAGGAGAGGGTGACCTATATTCTCTTACCCCATTCAGAAAATATTACCAGTTGTCTCACCCACCTATAAATGGTATTTCTGTCCAGTAGTCTGGTATAGTCCTGCTAAGACAGGTTTCCCAGGAGAAAGTGAACTGCTCCAGGGATGTATAGAATACATATGCTATTATTGCAAACTCTTGATGCTCATCGTGCAATTTGAAAGACATTTAAAAATTCACTGACAGTATCCCATTACACTACAAGAATGGAAGAAGAATGTTTGTCAGCATCAATACCCGACTGCATTAATCAATTATATTTATATATGCAAATTTGATCTGGTTTCAATATCTTATTAATATAAGCAATATGTGCTGACCGTATTTCTTTGTAACACTGGATAAACCTGCAGAAATGACATTAATCATTCAATGTAGATGTCTCCAGGGGTCAACCATATTGTTGCCAGTGTCAATATTGAGAAATGCTATTTTTATTGTGCTTCATGTTCCCTGACAGCTCTGCCCCACACCACCTGACCAGAGTCCCTCTGCCTCGCGCCCCCTCTCCCCACGAAATCCCATCTCTCTGACCCCACTTTCAGTCAACTTTCTTCCCTCCCCCTGCCACCCACAAGATCTGGTTCCCAGTCAGTTGTGTGAAACACTTTGAGACGTGCTCCTTATGTGATGTGAAAGCCGCTATACAAATGTAAATTATTGTTGTTCATAAGATAAATATGATTGCCAGATTTTATAACTGTATTGCATTTTATAATCATTTTTATTAATTTGATTGTATTTGATTCATGAGGAATTTTTGGTTATAAATTTGTTTTCCAATTAATATACAGATTTAAATTGTGTATAATTAGCTTGAGCTGTTAGTGTTATTTTGAATGCTTCATAATCCCATCCTTCAAGTTTTGTAGTAAATATTTTTAAATATGTTATGATAATAATAATTTTTGTACTTGATAGAGTTCCTTATCCAGTAAGCAAAATATCTGATAGTTTTTAACAGGATTTTACTGTAAAGTGGAATAACTATGTAATTATCTGAAATATTATTATGATCTTTAAATTTGATACACCTGTAATGCCAAGAACATATCAAAGCATTTCATGAAGTTGCTATAAAGTGCAGTGATTGTGTATTGACAGGGAAAGAAGCAGTTAATTTACGCAGTCCCATAAAAGGTATCAAGTGAGTGATGAATTTTATCTAAGGGATTTTTGTACAAGGCACTTTTTTTTGTATTGTGCTATGGAATCTTCAGCATCCAACTAAAAGAACAAACTGTCATTTGTTTTAACATCTCATCCAAAGGATGGCATCTTCAACAATGCAGTGCTTCCCTCAATGTTAACCTAGACTACTAACCCAAAGTCCTGATGTGGGTCTTAACTTGCAACCTTGAGACAAGAGTGCGACCAACTGAGCTGGCTTGCCACTTGCCACTTGATTCAACTACATTACAAATAGCCCTGTTACACAGAAGGATTGTCAGCAAGGTTCAGTGATGTTTTAAGACAAATCCCTGAGACTATTAAAGGCTAATGTCCTTTGTTTCAATTATCACATTTTGCTTGCTTAAGGGATTGTTGAGTACTTAGTAAGTATAAGAATTTGGATTACTATGAACTTTGTCATATGAGTATGTCGAATCTTGGAAAGCCACAACTGAAGGCTTGCATTTTTTAGCAGCTTTCATGTCAAAAGATATCCCAAGGTGCTAGACAGTCAAGGATTTGCATCCGAGCTGGGGGTTAGAATCGACAGGGTTGGAGGGTAGGGAGTATGGGGGTGGGAGTATAGAAGGTCTTGAGACAGGCCTTGAATGAGGCAAGGTAGAGAAATTCGGGGATGGAGTTCCGAGGGCGGGGGCAGAAAAGCTGAAGGTCCATCTAACAATGAAAACTGCAAGAGCAGGTTTAAACTGTGCTTAACTTAATATAGTTTCCTGTGAACTGTGACATACTCTATATTTATCTTTAAATATAGTAATAATATATTTATCTTTAATGCTCATTTAAGTTAGCAATTTTCATTTTTTAAAGAAAATTAATTTAGAAAACTTTATTGGGAAATTAATTATTTTTAGTATGGTCATAAATAAGATGAAAGAAAATGATGCATCATAAATTCCCCATTTACGCCTCCTAGCTTTGTGGGGGATTTAAGATCTTTTCACGAAAAAATAAGTTAGGCTATGGTGAGAATTCAAATAACATAAGAAATGCGAGATGAAAAAAAGACCAAGGTCCACCTTGATTGCCTTCCACCTTACTTGTGATCGCAATCATGTAAGTCCCGAACTACCTATGTACTTTATCCCATAATGTTTTTTCCTAAAAGAAAACTATCTAATCTGTGTTTGAAGGAATCAATATTTCCTGCTTCAACTGTCTCTCTAGGGAGTCTTTTCCACAGGTTTACTATTTGCTCACTGGAAAATTGTTTCTGAAGATTCGTTCTTAATTTAACCCCCCCCTTCAATCGTAGGTCGTGTCCTCTGGACACGACCTACGATTTCTCCCATATCCTTTTTGTACTGCAACGACCAGAACTGTAAACAGTACTCCACCCATGATTTATACAGTGGCAGGATAACCCCACTATTTCTGCTTGCTATTGATCTTTTGATACATCCCAACATCTGGTTTGCTTTACTCCACAGAGCATTGTTGTAAGATCTTCAATTTATTGTCAATCAGGACCCCTGGGTCCTTTTCATTTTCCATATATATGATTTCCCTTCCATTCAAATAAAAATCCCTTTCTGGATTTGTTGTCCCCATTTGAAGTACTTTAAATTTCTCCACATTGAATTTTATCATCCTTAAGGATCCTCAGAGGCAATTTATCTGGCCCGAGATTTATTTACCTTAGGTTTGCACAGCTGTTTGGCAACCATGCTGGTCATGATATGAATAGTTTTACAACTTTCCTCTGCAACTTCCTTGTGTTCTCTTTCCAGATCACATAGATTACCCATCTTCTCCTTTGTAAAAACTGATGCAAAAAACATATCTAGCAATGTTGTAGCCTGCACAGCATTATTTGTTGTGTTCTCATCGTTTGTCCTTTTTTTCTCTTGATGTAACTGAAAATTTTTGTTATTATCCTTCACATCTCTTGACATATTGAATTCAAAGTTTTTCCCCTTCCATTCTGATGTTTTTTTTAAACAATCTTGGCATGCCTTCTGATATTAAGTCCGACTTAAATCTGTGGCATTTTCCTTCATGGCCTTGAATGCCTTTTTTTTCCTGTTAATTAGTAGAACAAATCCTCAGCTCTAAAGCTCCTTCTCTTGCTTCAGCGTGAAGTCAGTGTACTTTTACCTGAAGGAACAGATTCATTTATCATGAAATGCAATGCAGATTAAGTGAAACAGCAACAATTATTTTACATTTATATACAGCATGTCAAGTCTCAAAGCGGTACATGGAGCCAGTTGGGAGCTTGAGCTAGGGTTGGGGGTAGCTGAGGAAATGGCGTGGGCGGGGTGGGGGGGTGTGAGGAGGAGGAAAAGTGACCAAAAACCTGGTGGAAAAGAAAGGGTGAGCAAAGAGAACAGTAAAGGTTTGGTATTTTACTTCATGGCCACTTGTTTGCGTACGCTTGCTCTGAATTGTTTTCAATGTGATTGTGATTATATCAAATTCCAAACCACCTCTCCAATTTAAAGAATCTGACCTTTTAGCAGATGGCAAATCGATTTGTGTGGTTTGCTTTCTAGTGATGATCACTGAAAAATGCAATTTCTCCAGTTTGCTTTAACTTGAATTGTTGCGGCAAAATTGACTTTGGCCAAGCAAGGAAAATAATAACCATCTTGAAATTAGGCGTGACTATCATTTGTATGCAGGTCTGATATTTGAAGTATAGAACAATTGGACTTTGCCCTAATGAGTCTCCGGAAGACAGACACGTCCAGAAATGCTTTGCTTATTAGCATGTCTGCTTCCAGATGAGTTGATTGGTTGAGTCATGTTGTGCAACAGTGTGCAAGTCCTGACAACTGAAGCAAATAAACCTTTTTATTTTAAAAAAATCTTTTCACAGATATGGCAACTGAACATCCAGACAAGAAGTCCATCATTATGTACATCACATCGCTTTTCCAGGTTCTGCCTCAGAAAGTAACCATCGAAGCCATCCAGGAGGTTGAAACCCTGCCACAACAGCCAAAGGTCACTCAGGAGGAACGAAGAGAGATGCAGCGATTCTCCCAGCAGGTGACAATTTGAAAACTTTGCCTAAAGTACCTTTTTAAGGATGTTTACAGTTAACCCCTCAGGTGCTTGAGAGTCTCTGCAGGTGATTCTACAAAGCAGATACTGGCATCTGATTCATGATATTTGTAATACAGATTTGTTTAGTTGATTGTTACTGTTGGTTTGCAAAATTTGCAATCAGTTGCTCCTAAATTAGAGAGATTTGGAGAAGACTACAGAGAAAAGTAAATATTGATCATTTTGCCCACAAGCCTTCCTTTTTGGCTTTTTCTAATAGGATTCATTCTGTATTTAGTTTGCAAAAATCTCAAATTAGGTCCCATTATATGAGTTTGTAACATGGAATGAAGGATGCACTGAATGAAGATTGCAATGTTTCACCATGCATTCCTTGCATTAACAAGTAATGTGTTATGAAACCCGCAAATTTAGTTCCTTTAAATATTCCATTAACTCATTTGATAGCATTAGCTCTGCTTTGCTCCCGAGACTGTTTGGTAGCAAAAAAAACTTCTGTAATAATAATAATCATTGCATTTCTGTAGTGCTTTTTGTGGCGTAAAAAGTATGTGGTAAAAACGCTGTGACATTTGTTTAACTGCTTACTTATAACCCTGAATAACTTTACTCTGGGAATTCCACTCCTTTCATCTGCATTTGTCTGCTGTGGCTTTTGGGTGCTAACATTCTGGAAGTACATCTAGATGGACCAAAATGCTGCTTTTGAAAGATTTGACAACATGGGATCATGTTCCTTAAAGTGTAATTTTTTTCAAAATTCAAAAACTTTTTCGTAAATTTGTTTCTCCTTGAGGCCAAACTCGCAGTTCCACAGAAGCATCTTATCTGTGCTATACTCCTACACCAGTATATGTGCTCTGAAGGTACATCTCATTCGAACAGTCTAGCCTTTGACCCATTCATACTCTGTTGGAGTTTGAGAACTTCAGCCACACAAGTAATAAACAGGCCATAGAACACTGTTGTTGTCTTCACTCTTTACCCAATCATACAGCAGATTTTGGGGTACATTGAAACTGACTCCCTGTAAAGTGAGTTTGAATGTACTCCAACATTTGCAGGCTGATCAAGACGCCGCCACTGGAAATGACAACTATCCTCCAGGATGCCACCTTATGTTGGCCTGCAAGCATGACAGCTTTTGGAAGGCAGATGATGTTTGGAACGCCCTCATTTCTCACTAGCAGCCCCATGCTATGCCATTGCCTTCATAAAATCATAGAATCATAGAATTATATAGCACAGAAGGAGGCCATTCGGCCCATTGTGTCTGTGACGGCTTTTTGAAAAGAGCTATCTAATTTAATCCCACTCCCCTGCTCTCTCCCCTTAGCCCTGCAAGCTTGTCCTCTCCAAATAATTATCTACTTCTCTCTTAAAAGTTGTTATCAAATCAGCTTCCACCACTCTTTTTGGCAATGCATTTCAGATCCGAACAACCCTCTGTGTGAAAAAAATTCTCCTCACCTCCCCTCTTTTTTTNAACAATATTTTAAATCAGTGCCCTCGGGTTACTGACCCACCCACCAGTGGAAATAATTTCTCCTTATTCACCCTATTGAATCCCCTCATAATTTTGAAAACTTCTATTAAGTGTCCTATTAACCTTCTCAGCTCCAAGGAGAATAATCCTAGCTTCTCTAGCCTCTCCTGGTAGCTGAAGTCCCTCATTCCTGGTACCATCCAGGTAACTCTCCTTTGCACTCTCTCCAGTGCTCGACAAACTTCCTAAAATGTGGGGCCCAGGCTTCTATTTTGCTTACAAGTCCCTTATGTGGCACTTTATCAAATACATTTTGAAAATGCGTATAAACTATATCAACTACACTACCTCATCTACCCTTTCTGCCTTCTGCATCAAGCACCTCAACCTTTTCATACATGCAGAGCACATGGCAGTCAAGATGGGCAGCCTTACTAGAATGTGGCAAGCGACTGACAGTAGAAGTGCTTCCTCCCAGCACAGTAGAAGTTATGGTATTCATAGCTGTAACCACAGAATATTTGTACACCATCGAACAAAACGGTGCAAATAAAGTGTATTTTCCTTTTAATCTTTAAATATTGAACTGCCCGAATGTCTCCCTCATAATGAACTACTATTAATCTCAGTCAGAGGTAAGTGTTTCACCCACAGGAAGACATGGAAATAGAAAGATAACTCACTGAGGCAGCTCTCCCAACCTTTCTACTCAAAAGACTGGTGTGTGGCACTCAGATGTCTAGACCAATCAAAATAATTTTTGTTTTAAAAATCATAATCTTTTTACGAATGCTTTGCATATTTCTAAAACCTGCTTTGCTGTAAGTGATTTTACAATTGTGGCTTTCTAGAAGGAAAGCCATTTTGCAGTGCTTACCCACGTTATTCTGGTTGCCTCTTTGCTTTTTATTTAGTTTCCCCAGTGGCCTTGGCTGCACATTTGGTTGTCAGGGTAACCGTTTCAGTTGTCAGGATGATGTGGCTTTCACATGGGTTTGTCATGTTTTGTTCCTCACCATTAGATTGGATAATACAATAGCCAGTTTTCACATGGAATGATTCTGAGCTGGAACAAGTGAGAGCCACCTTGAAAACTTTCAAGATGGTGGGAGTATTCTTTTACAGCACATCATTGACTAGTAATTCCTGACCTTATCTTCAGTTGAACAAGCTTAAGAATCAACAAATGTGATATGACAGTGTCGCTTCAAAAGCAGTTCCTCTGACAAACATTTCAAGGGAATGTTTAAAATTATGATCACTGCAAACAAGTTTCACATTCAATGCTCTGGCAGTTTTGTGGGAAGTGTAATCACTCTGCCTGTGTATCAAGAACTCTGAATGACTTGCATTTAAAAAGATTACGTAAAAGGTCTTATGAGCACAAAATCGATGATAATTTTTCAAAAACCTACATAGATCACAATGAGCTTCAATTTTCTGTTAATGGGCCACATTTGTATACAAGATAGTTTCATCAATTGTTTAGCACTTTATTTGATATATTTTGTGTCTTTGAAACACCTGGCGTCTCAGTGCCCCCCTGGTTAGGGAGAGTCAGGTCAGCTACGGTTCCTGCTCAGAATCTCTGAATTTAGAAGCTGCTGTTGGATGTTGCAAACGTGTAGGATGCGGATGTGAAGCCCCCTGAGGTCATTTAGTCCGCCAACACTTGTTGGCAAGCCTCACATGATGTTAGAGGACACCAGAGCCTGTGGAAATGTAACCCAGTATCAGCAGAAAAAAATGTGTCGAATGTTTTAAGGGAGAGAGAAAATTAGAGAAGTAAAATTGATATCAGAAAAATTATACCTACAAGCATAACTTGGTGGATCCAGGAGTGAGTCATTTATCTCAGGAGTCTTGCCGCCAGATGGAGTGCTGTGCAGAAGTGAAGTACATCAGTTCAAAGAGGGAAGCGCGAACACAACACTCATGAATAAATTGTCATGTTAACCTTCTGAGGACAACTCCTAGGGAGGTTCTAGTCATAGTTGAGGTTTACCTGGGCCAAGTAGAGGGAGTGGCAGAACTCGTGGGGGGGGGAGGAATTTTAGGGTAAAAAATTAAAAGTAAATAAACTGAACTGTCGCTTGTTAAAAAAAACAGAGTAGATACCTTTGATTTTTTTTGTGTGTCATTTTGCCTACAGTCAGATTTCTTTAGTCCGTTTACATTTTTATATGTCTGTATTTGCTGTATTCCTTTCCAAAATGTTTGTCTGCTTTTCCTAATTTCCCCTCTTTTAGATCACAGTCTCCGTTGCACAAGGTCCCGTGCGCACTCCTTCACCTTCTAAACCACGCTACAAAAGCTGTGCCTACACACAAGCCGCTTACGTTATGTTGCCTGACCATAAAAGGAGGCATCTCCCTCCAGAGGTCTGTCATCACTGCATGCTCTATAAATGTGCTTCTTTTCTCCTGCTTTTAACACTGACAGCATTCTTGCTTTCCATTGGCTTTATCCATTACTGTAATGACATTATAATAAAACCCCTAACTATACAAAATTATAAAGCAATAATTAACATTGAAGAGAATGAATAATGATGAAGCCTTTGAGGATTATTGTGATTTTGTGCTTTGTCAGATTGAAGTTTGTTAATTACTGTAATGCGTGTGGTCTTTGTATTCTAAAACTCCAAGCAGGAGGTGGGAGGCGGAGTTCAATTCACCGTTTCATATATATCCTATGTTAATTGATTTTGGATACCATAACCATTAACTTGGGTGAAGGTCTTCACTGTTTGTACTTACATCAGTTGTCTACAGTGTTTGCAAGAACCGTGATTAGAGCTTTGTTCAAATTTATGACCTTTTTAATTGGAAAGGTATAAAATTTGATTGTCAATTATTCCTTCACTTTTGGAGCTAAAAACAATTCAGCAACTAGAACTTTACCTTCTCGATGCCCGTCAGCAAGTATGTTAAAGTTACAAAATATGTGAGCAAAGACATTTTTTAAATCTATCAGGAAGAGGCGACTGGTGCCAAACCTTTCAGACTTCGATCAGAATCCACCCTGATTCTTTAGATAAAATATAAAGGCCCATGACCCTGAATGAAATTCTTAATTCATAAAAATAAAAGGTAATTTATTGCCCACAGGTAACTAGAGTGAAATCAATCATAGTTCAATCATTAATTTGCTTTAAATGTCAGTCTTTGTTGGTGAGGCTAGTCAGATGGTTGGTGTGAGAAGTGGAAGTTCCACATTGTTGCAGAGACCTCTTAACTATGATTGACTAGAAGATGGTTTCTGTAATCTAGCATTGTATGAGGAGAAAGCCTTCAAAATAGACAGTCACAGCACATTACAGTACACCCTGAAGCACTTGAGACAACTTCCCAATGTAAAAGGTGTATTATGTTTGCCTTGGGCAGTGCTAGTCGAGCCCAATTCTACCTCCACCTACTTCTAATAACAAATTAGGCATGTTTAGCAATTTAGATTTCACTATGTTGGCCATAAAAGTTGTGGATTTCAGGATCTA